TGCAGAAGATTTCAATGGCAGATTTATCAGAACCTTGTCGGCAACTATGCTAAAATAAATAACTGCATGCAGCAAACGAGATTCGGGATTCATGCTAGCTTCGCGATCCGAGACATAGCATCGGCTGCACATCCTCGGTCGTTGGAAAGATCCGCTTTAAAGCGGTACTACATCTGGCTGCTCGGCTATATATTAGCTGCTAGCATGATCGCTACGATAACCCAGCCCAGGACCCCGAGGTCACGGTAAAATTGTCAGCTAGTCAGTCTGCCAAGGCTCCAGATGGAGGTTGATCATGCCGACGACGAAGCATGATCAGGGGTTCCGGCAGAAAAAATCGAGGGATCCGGAGGGTGGGGTACGCCGGGTACGGTTGTTAGCTAGCTAGCTCGGGTACCGGTACGGTATAGGTTAAATATACATCTTTATAGGGTTCCTGGTTTTGGGATGATCTTAGCTCGCATATAGATAGCGGTTTAAACCCCAATTCCCTAAACTCCGAAACGCGAATGGCCTGAAAATCGGAAGCCAAAAGTCGTTCCGTTATAACTAGGCCCCAACAGCTGCACCCCGTAGGCCTCAAAGCTTTATGAAGTTAATTTGTTTTTTTTGAACAATGGATGTCTAGACCCTTATCCGAAGCCCCAAAACTATAACCAAAGATTGTTTTTGGGTCTTAAGTATGGGTTAGGGGACCGATCTGCTCTGCTAGCAGCTACGCTATAGTCTTTACTAGCTACCGCAATCTCCACACCAAGCTCAAGCTAAGCCTCAACACCCCCAGCCTAAAGTTAATGTCAGCCCAGCATCCAAGTTAAGCGACAGCAGCTCGTCGCCGTCCCAGCAGATAGATCGGGAGTCGACTAGCTACAACGTTAACATATAGCTAGCTACTAGTACGTATTACTACATATATAGTGCATGGCGATGAACTATAAACATACAATACAGGGTCCAAGTTATAGCTATAGTACTAGCTAGATACAGTTATAATACTTTATATAAGATTGGACCCAATTATTTTAAAAGCTATTTATACGTATATGTGTAAATGCTATACGTATAGCACGACGTGTCACGGGTCACCGGCATGCATGCCCCGTACGGTATATAAATATTTTATATAGTATATTGTACTATATATATAGCTTATATATAGATTGTAGATTTATGATGTATTTACTGGTACACGTACGTGTATCTTGGTACTATATCGTATATGTCTGTGCACAGTTACCTATATATGGATCCGGATATAATATACACGTACGGTTAGATATACGATCGCGAATCTATCAATCTAGATCATTATTTTTTCCGTCGGTTGTGGAATATGCCTATCCAGCTAGTCACGTGTTATGTCCGCTTTTTTGCATCTGCACTAAACCTTTGGTTTTCTCGTCGTAAGTCATACACCAATACCGAAAACGCATTTTTGCGAGGGGTACGATTTTTTGGTCCCAAAAGTTGCCCAGATGCTACATTTGTCCCAGGGTGGTTTTTTGACCCAGGAGCATTTCGGACAACCTTTCTTCACCATCTATGTACACTCACGCAATGTGTGTGCCATACACATCCTTTGGACCCTTTGGGTTAGGTATTTCCGTTTTCCTCGCTCTGTGGCACACGAGTATGCGAACTCACAACCTTGCGCTTCCATCGAAAACGCATCGTTATGTCTGCGGATCTGCAGAATCCAAGTTTCCTATCGCTCTCCTTTGCTTCATTTCTGCAAACACCGACCGGGATGCGGTCGTTCCTCCAGAACATCGATAAATCATGTCGTTGTGAAAGATACCGCATCGATTTCAACACAAGGTTCCCATTGGGTCCCATCGCAGAAATACTACCGAAGTGAAAGTCGTTGGAAAAAAA